GTTTGTTTTTTCGTGGCAGGATCTCCTCAGGAGTTCTCTTTCCTTTTACACATATCTGGGGTATTCGATACGATAAACTATAACATTTGGTTTCTTGGCCTTTACTACTTAGGAGTCTCAGCAATAAACCCTCTGTTGTATGGAGTTTTGGATACAAAATTGTGTTTACGATGTAAACTTTGATTAACATTTGATTTTTTACTATTTAAGAGCATAGTTAAATCGTTTAGGATTATAGATTGATTGTTAATTTAGCAATATAGATAAATTATATAGATGCATAAATATATGTACATAGTTATATGTATAAAACTACCTGTATAATTACCTCTAAGACAAAATTGGGTATAGATGTAAGTCCTAGCTGCTTTTACTTTTTCAGTTAACATTAGCAAAATGTACAATGTTACAAAATTGGCGTTGAGAACTACACTAACAGTGCAATGTAGCCGGAAACAAACGAAACACATGGCTGCACTTCTTTAAAAATCGCATATCGATCGTTGGGTGTATATTTCGCTTAGACCTTTTTCACGTATTGAAGTAGGTATGTGATAAATTATATCATCAGCGGAAAGCCCTTTTGCGAAATTGAAAATATTGCTTTTACACACGGAGTGCATGAGGTCCCTTTCAATGTGTTTGCGCAGTTTTAAAGGTAATAAATTGTAGATATATCGCAAGATTTGTAGGTATAATTCGTTATTATATAGGTGGGTTTTGGGTACATTTTCATTACCACACAAACACTCAAAGTTCAGAGGACTGTATTCTGTCATTTAGTGTCGTTAAAGCACAATTTTACACATGATTCATGAATGAAATTCTGTTAATAAGTTAGTTCATTCAAATTTTGGTGGCATTTCTCAAGAATTTGCTGTGAATTAGACAGTTGTTTGACAAACAATTACATAATTTCCATGCATATCTGCTTGAAAACCGCCATCTTGAATTTTTATGAAAAGTGCAACGAAATGCATGCATTTTATTTTCTTAGTCTGTACTTTATAATCACAATTTTTATCATCTGGCTCCAAAAAATAAAGTAATATGCGTAAATATACATAATAGATATTCGCGCTACACTCATTTATAGTGATACAGGTCTGCCACATTTCGTTGGGGGCCACTTTTTTCCCACCCCCTGTATAACCAAAGACCTGCGTGGCAGCGTATTCTAATAACTTCGCATCAAATGTGGTGTAAGACAGGAACACGTCGACCTATATATACTAGGCCTAGCCTTTGTTAGGAAAAAGGGGCGTATAGCGTGCGTGGAGTGGGGAGATGTGGGGTGCTGCATCTCCATTTTGGCAAGGTGGTGGTGGAGGTGGCTGCAGGTTAACCCTTTGATGTATGGAGTTTTAGATTAAGAAAAGCGTTCAAAATGTATTGTAATCAATTGTATTATACAGCAAAAAAAAAAGCTTTAACCTTTGTTAAATATATTTAATAAAAGAAAAGAGGTGTTATAAACCAAAATAAAATTTACCTATATGATAAACAAGAAGCAGCGTGACAGTGTCTTCTATTAAATGTGATGTCTCAACTGCCTAAAATGATTGACAAAAACAGTCGACTTTTGGTCTATATATAGGCATTTGTCAGGAAAATTCGTATGGGCATATATACTTATACTCTCCTGACGAGGGCTGGCCTTTAGGTGAAACCCTTCATACGTGTCTTTGTCTTTTTTGGGCAGCTGTCAACGAAGCTTACGTTTGTATACTCACGTCCATACTTAGTGTACACAAGAGTACTAAAGTGTAAACTATATATATATATATATACGTTTTATATTTATTATTCATGTATATTTGGCGTTTATTATATACCAGACTGTTATCCAGCTGCACGTATTTTCTTATTTTTCGTGAATTATTTTTGCCATGAATGCGTCAATGAATACAACCTTGTTTGAACACCCTCTGTACGTTGACGTCGGATGGTATTTTTTTTTGCTTCCGTTATCATACTCGGCTCTCTAGGAAACATTTTGGTTATAATCAACGTTTGTCGACACAATTTGTTCAAGAACAGACACTATTACTTGGTGTTACATCTTGCAGTATGCGATCTTTTGACTCTCCTCCGCAACATTGAATACTTCTACGAGTATTTTACAGGAAAGACATTGATAACTTCATTTATAGCATGTAAGATGTCGTTTCTTCCTGATACCCTTTTATTGGCGGGTGTACTGTTCATGGTTTTAATGGTAATACTTCGCTATCGTGCTGTTTTTTACCCCCTTCGACCTGCAGTGAGTCGATTGAAATTGCACTTAGTTTCTGCTGCAGTATATGTTATCTCTATTCTTTGTTACATCCCATTTTTGTTGGTTCTTGATTTTGGAGCAACTGAATGTTTTGCATGTGAATTGGTCATCTGAATGGCTGAAAACAAGCTACGATGTCTTTCTTTCATCCGTCCAGTTCTTCATTCCAGCCGCATTTCTTGGAGTGACATATTGGAAAATTTGCAGTGAACTCATGAAACAGAGTAAGAAAATCCACGGCATGAATGCATCAAATGCCTTGGAAACTGAACGTTCGTTGTTTCAAAGATTCGCTCATCATAGAAATGCTCGAACGTTTGTAATAAGTTTTGCTATATTCGTTTGTTTTTTCGTGGCAGGATCTCCTCTGCATATCTCTTTCCTTTTACACAATTCTGGGGTATTAGATATTATAAACTATCACATTTGGTTTTCTGGCCTTTACTACTTTCGAGTCTCAGCAATAAACCCTCTGTTGTATGGAGTTTTAGATACAAAATTGTGTTTACGATGTAAACTTTGATTAACTAGTTAAGAGCGTAAATATAGTTTAGGAATATATATATATATATATATATATATATATAGATTTATTATTAATTTAGGAATATAGATTAATTATATAGATGCATAAATATATGTATATAGTTATATGTATAAAACTACCTGTATAATTACTTCTACGACAATATTGGTATAGATGTAAGTCCTAGCTGCTTTTACTTTTTCAGTTAACATTAGCAAAATGTACAATGTTACAAAATTGGCGTTGAGAACTATACTATATAGAGATTACTTCATGGTAGGCGAGTACGTACGATTTTTATGCACGAGTTGTGAAGGGTCAACCATGAAGTAAATTGTTTATTAAATGTGTGTAGAGATCAATTTGACAACGACACGCTTTTAATATACAAAAACACAGCGAGCAACAAAATCGAAACTTTATGCATCAAAACATATTTATTACCGTTCAGTTTCTTTTTAATTTTGTTCAATAGAAGTTATAGATATTCTTTCCGAAAGATTTGAGAATGTGCTGAATGTAAAAATATCTTGAATATAAGAAATATTTTTTGAATCTCACTCCTATATTTCCACGCCATCTTGAAAAAAAATGTAAACAAATTGCCGCCAAAATGACATACGACAATTTTTCACGTGTGAAGAATATCGTACGTCCAATCAAAAGCCGTGTATGGCATTTTTCACACGTGAAAAACATCGTACGTCCAATCAAATTGCATGAAATTAATCTACACAGCGAAATACGTCTTATTTAATTGCTATTCATGTATTTGGCGTTTGCTTTGCATGTATTAGGTTGTCTGCCAGCTGCACCAGTTTTCTTACTTTTTGTTTGGAGTACTTGACTTTGGCAATGAATACGTCTACGAATTCAACCTTTCCAGAAGTCCCTCCATCCGTTGTTTGGTATTTTATCGATTTCGTTATCACATTTGGTTCTATTGGAAACATTTTGGTAATATTCACCGTTTGTCGACAAAATTTGCTCCAGAACAGACACTATTACTTGGTGTTTCAACTCGCCATTTGTGATCTTTTGACTTTGCTGGGTGCTATCGGACGCCTTGGATATTTGACAGTAAAGCCACTAACGACCTCGTTTGTCGCCTGTAAACTGTGGTTTCTTCTTCAAACGTTTTTTCTCGCGGGTGTACTGTTCATGGTTTTAACAGGAATGCTTCGCTATCGTGCTGTCTTTTACCCTCTACGACCTGCTGTGAGTCGATTGAAACTGCACTTTGTTTCTGCTGCCGCATATGTAATCTCTTTTCTTTGTTACATTCCTTTCTTTTTGGCTCTTGAATTCCAAGCGCCTCATTTCTGCACTGAAAATTGGTCATCTGAATCGCTGAAAACAAGCTACGATGTCTTTCTTCCAGCCGTCCAGTTCTTCATTCCAGTCGCATTTCTTGGAGTGACATATTGGAGAATTTGCAGTGAACTCGTGAAACAGAGTAGGAAAATCCAACGCATGAATGCATCAAATTCCTTGGAAACTGAACGTTCGTTGATACAACGATTGTCTCATCATAGAAATGCACGCACGTTTGTAATAAGTTTTGCGATATTCGTTTGTTTTTTGGTGGCAGGGTTTCCTCAGCAGATTGCTTACATTTTAATTACATTTGGAATAGTCGATTTGAATAACTCGAGCTATTATTGGTTTTTTGTCCTTTACTACTTTGGAGTCTCAGCATTAAACCCTTTGTTGTATGGTGTTTTGGATACTAAATTTCGGTCACGATGTAAACTTTGATTAACTCTTTGAGAACATAAACAGTTTAGGAAGATTTATCCAATATATACAATATCCGTCTTTTCAAAAGTATATATATGCATGATTGTTCACTTAACATGTATAACTAAAAAATTTTTGTCATAAGTAAATTGTAAATACTGAATTATTTGTAAAAATGTAAAAATTATATATTATATATTATAAAATTATAAAATATATAATTGTAGATACGTTCCAATATAATCAGGGAGCAGCGTGGCAGCGTCTTCAAATAACAACTGCCTAAAATATAGGCCTACACAAAAACACTTCTCGACGTTTTGACCTGAGGGCCTTCGATCGTCAGGAGAGTTAGTAAGAAGAGTTAGTAAGCCATACTAACTCTCCTGACGAAGGTCCTCAGCTTATGGCCACACTGGTCGTTTACTTATATGTTATATCTTATAATCATTTAAGATGGAGAAGGAAAGAGTTGCGGCTGGAGATGTCCCGCTTGCCAATTCGTGGAACGTAATGTCCCAAATGCGTACAGATGTTTTTGTGGTAAGTTAAAGATGTTTGTATAGATGTCGAGTGTTAGGCGATTTAATTAACAATATATGAGAAACAAGACTTGCTGAACCAGAAATCGGCTCTTGACACATGTAAGCGCCTTTGCATGGACTTCGAATTCAAGCCGTCGTTTCTTTGACTCCATGCATATAGCGCTTGATATAAATTATATATAGAGACAATATATTTGTATTTGCGATGTAAAGGTCAACAAAAATGACTCCAATTTGAAAGCTTTTTCATTGCTTAACGTCGCAATTAGCTATATTGTATATAGTCGTTGTGCTGTTGTAATAATATATTGTATTATTTAACTGATGAGTGTAGCTTAACGCTTGTCATGCGAAACAGTTCTGTGGTAGTGGCACAATTTCCTAGCTGTTGTGTTTTTTTGTGTCGAATGCTATCGTTGCAAACGTGCCGGACAACATTTCCAATAAATAAAGTGACTTTCTACTAACTTCCCCACGAGGGTCCGAATGTGAATACGTATAACTTGATTTTCATATGTAGGAAAAGTTGAAGAGCCAAAATGGTATCCTCAAGATGGAATCACGCCTCACAGTAAGCAGGGCCGTAGCTATATAGACCGCTCCATTGGGGGGACGGGTGCATATATTCATGTATTCATATTCATTTATAGGCTGTGGAGAGCTTTGTTTAAAGAAACGAATTGCAAAAGATTGTGCCCACCCATGTAACCAGTATGTTAATACAATAATATAATATTATTTTTATGTATGTCGTTGGATATATCGTGCAGTGCGATAATTGAAATATTAACATGAACGCAAAGTCATTAAGCGTATATCATATCCTGCATGCTGTCTACGCAAACTACAATTGGTAGTTCAACAACTTAGCTTTTCCGAAAGAAGTAACAATGCGTTCTTGGTTTGTTTTTAAGCGACAAGTATACATCGCGAAAAAACAGTAAAATATACAAATAATAAATAATGTACCATTGTAATTTTTGTTCACAATCAAAATGAAATAGTAAACACTAAACATTTCCTACTATATTTTTCCTACGAATATAGTTATAAGCCCTGCAATTATATATGCGAAATTACTAGGCTATATATTCATTTTAAATTTATAGGTTGTGCCATCCAGGCCCTTGTCCAAGTTGCCCTGTTATGATAACAAAAGACTGCTCCTGTGGAAAAACAACGTATCCCTTTTTGCGTGTGTCGCACATTGTAGGAAAAAAGGTCCATGCATGCACTGTCTATCTTAAGAGCAAGTTAAAGGGTTTGATACCTTTCACACGTAGAAATAGAAACATAGACAATATTTATGTTGTCTTTCGAACATCAGAATTTGATGATTGATTGCTCCATTTTTTATTGAGCATTTGTTAAAAGATTCTGAATTAAATGTGGCTGACTGAAGAGGGATGTAGTTTCCTTTTTAAACGTGGAAAAAGTTCGAACGATGCATTATGGTTTATTCAGTGAAAGATGGTTTATTCAGTGACGCAAGCGACTTTTAGCTTGACGTCGCTATTCAATTATTTTGCTAGAAATAAGCTACGGGAAATTAATCCATGCTGCCAGGGCTTTGAAATAATCGTACAAACGTTTTAATTGTGCTATAAACCTCCGATGTCTGGCTGAAATTGCAGTTAAAGCTTTAAACAGCTTTCACGTTGCAGCTGCTTTCATGTCATCGAAAGCCTTAAAAATACCCCATTTAAAGGCGTCGTAAGAATGACAACGCTGTCATGGGACCACAAATTATGCATAATTATATACCTATCGTCTCGCGTGTGGAGCCTCTTTGTTTTCCAAACACGTCGTCGAATTGGCCGCGTGGTGAATCATAAGGCCTGCTTTTCATATGTCGTAATTCATCGGCGATGTCATTGGTGCATAAAATCTTTGTATATATCGAAGAAATTTTTTTACTTCATTGATCACTGACAATAGATCGTAGAACATGAATAAACCATTTCAGACCATATTATTTGAAAAACAGGTTAATTTGCATACCAGCTGCAAGAAAAATTTGCATACTATTTGCATACAATATGAAAACCAGGCTTTAGCTCTCTATTTAGGATCTGTTGTGTACCTTAATCGCTTAAATAGTACCTCAGTACGATGCGGTAACGCTTCTGATTTGACATGCTCGTTGACATGTGGAAAGACCCTCAACTGTGGGGTTCATCATTGTGAGGAGAAATGCCATGCAGGTATAATACAGGGTGTCCCAAAAAAAACGCAACCACTTAGATATGCAAGAATATTAATATTGTTCTGGTTTGCACCATAGTTCAGCTAAAATGACTTTTAGCATTGTAAATGAAGGATTAAGAGCCATTTTCAATTCCCAGAGGTGCTTATCTATTGCGCTTTAGAGCTGTATTAATGCTCTGCATATTTAAGTGGCTGCTTTTTTTTGGGGACCCCCTGTATAATAGTGAATGTATAATTACATTAATAATCAAAGGCTGAAAACCCTATAGCTCGGTATATTTGCTTGTCTGTAACAGCATTTGCTATATAACAGTTAGTCTGTAATAATATTCTATGTATTTAATTGTGTCTATATATAGGTACTTGCGAGCCATGTGTTGCGTTGCAAGAGCAGAGTAAGTACATGTACTTAGTGTGCTTAACATATAGAAACATGCTAATGAGACAATATATAAAATACTGTATTCAAATTTCCCTTTTTGAGAACTTAAAGAGTAATTATATGTCTTGTTCTCTTGGATTCAATTAATGCTAGTTCATGAGTGAAATAGTCGATGAAATGTTTTGACCATATTACAGTTCTTTAAAGTCTTTTTTGTTTGATATTAAAAGGTTGTTACTGTGGTCAAAATAAGACTGAAGCTGTCTGTGGCACTAGTAAGTACTGAAAGACAATATGAAATGTCGTTGGATAGGTTGAATAATGGAGTACGGCTATTTCATTCTTGTTGAACTAGTGGCGTGGGAAAATAGTAGGAGGACTGAAATTTCGTGTGAATGCGCTTCCGAAATGGGCGTCTTCGGCTCCACGCCATTAATTACATCATTCTTATATATAGATGTTGTACTTGGATTAGTAACCCTTTTTTTCTAATACTTTCAATGTATAGTTACTTCACGAAAGCGCCAGTAAAATAAACCTTTGAAAATATATTGAAACGACTGCATTCGCGTGATAGAAAACCATATATAGACTAATTGGAACTCGAAGTACTTTAAAGTTGTACACATCTAACGTTACAGGTTTCCCCACTTACATTGATGGTAAAGCTGGATATTTTTCATGCGGTGGTGTTTGTTCCAAGTATGTCATACTACTGCTATGTTCTTTTTTCCTCCTTTAATATTTTACATAAAGTTACTTTACATAAAGGCATAGTTACCATTCATTGGTCCATGTGTGAAGTAAACTGCTTGCCCTCACATTAATTCTTCCTGTCGTAACAAAATTTTTAGAAAGCTTGACTGTGGAAATCATCAATGTGAGAAAATATGCCATGTGGATAACTGTCCTGGTTGTGAACTTAAACCTGGTGTTGTCGTTTTTTGTCCCTGTGGTAAAATGAGGACCGCTGAATTGTTGAATGGAAAAGAAAGAATTTCTTGTCTGGATTCAATTCCTACGTGTGGAAGCACGTGCGATCGTTTTCTGCCATGCGCAAAATATAATGGTATGTGGTGGCCATTGAGCATATTAATCCCAGTTATTATCAGCGATTTGTCGGTGAATGGATGTTTTTTTCCTAAAAAACGGTTTTATTTTCGTGCAATTTCACCTGTTCGTTGTTTTGGATCATCGTTAGGAAGAAAAACAAAATCGTAAAAAAAAGTAGAGGCAGACCTCACTTCTTTACTTAGACCGATTTCTTATTTAAAAAGAATGCATGCTTTTGTTGCGTGTGTTTGATAAATATTTTGCTGGATATGGTCTATTGTAAATCGTTTACACTACATCGCTTGTAGATTTGACGAAAGGAGTTTCCGAACATCGCTGTAAAAAGTCATGTCATCATGGTGATTGTTCTTCATGTGATGGCGACTCCATTGTTAAATGCCGCTGTCGAGCAACGTCGAAGGTATTAAACTTTCTGTTGTGACCTATCCGTTCGCTTTGTCCGTTCGCAACTTTGCATATATAGCATATATCTGACGTTTTGTTTATTTCTTAGAAAACGAAATGTAGTGAATTGAATTTATCAGGTAATTTGACTATAAATATTTCCATAACATAGTTAATCTAGCCTAAATCTAAATTTAGCGAGGGAAGCCAAAAGGCTAATTTGGTTTTGGGTTATCTATTTATCTACACTATTATATAGAATTGTTATATTTCACGGCACAGCACAGTACAATATATATATATATATATATATATATATATATATATATATATATATATATATATATATATATATATATATATATATATATATATATATGTTTAAAAATTTGTAATCCAGGCATATTTGTTTATCAATGAATGTTCTCCGGATTTAAAATTGTTTTTTATTGAGCTTTCGATTCGGTACTTCGAGTCTTCTTCAGAATATCTAAATTATTTACATGTGTATAGCTTTATATATTTAAGTTTCGCGCTGTTCTTTAAGACTCTGTATACGTTGAGAGCGTCTGATTGGTTGTTTTGAAGTTGATCTGATATGATTGGTAGTTGAGGGATGCGTTGTCATGGTTGACTGCATTTCGTTGTCAGGGATGGTCGCTGTGGAATGATTAGATTGTTGTGTATCAGATGCGGGTGGATTTAAGTTATTATTAGTTATTAAATCCACCCGCATCTGATACACAACAATCTAATCATTCCACAGCGACCATCCCTGACAACGAAATGCAGTCAACCATGACAACGCATCCCTCAACTACCAATCATATCAGATCAACTTCAAAACAACCAATCAGACGCTCTCAACGTATACAGAGTCTTAAAGAACAGTGCGAAACTTAAATATATATAGCTATACACATGTAAATAATTTAGATATTCTGAAGAAGACTCGAAGTACCGAGTCGAAAGCTCAATAAAAAACAATTTTAAATCCGGAGAACATTCATTGATAAACAAATATATATATATATATATATATATATATATATATATATATATATATATATATATATATATATATATATATATATATATATATATATATATATATATATTAATATTTATCCAATATTACTGAAGATGAGCCGTTCATGTGTGAAAGAAAATGTAACAAGAAGTTTGACTGCGGTCGTCACAGATGTAGTCAAAAATGTTGTCCGGTAATTTAAATTGCAATGATTTTTGTGGTACTTTTTAAAGAAGTAGCGTTTTGATATATGGCTTCTCGATGTCTTTTCAGGGCACAGAACACAACTGTACGTTAATTTGTGGAAAGAAATTAAAATGTGGGAAACATAAATGTATGGAACCTTGTCACGCAGGAACCTGTCCACCCTGTTTAATGGCAGGTACCGTAATCCTTAAATTGAAAATATGACTTTTTTAAAACATTTTATGATCAGACCGGTTAACTGAAAAACTTGCTGTAGATGCAGACTGGCTATAGACTTTTTTAAGCGCTTTAGTAGTTGCAAGTGCATCAAAACACAAAAACTGACTGTGTTAAAAACAATGTGTAGCACCATGCAATTACTTTAGCCCACTCCTCATTGATAGTAAAGGCACAAGGAACGATGAAAATGATGAAGGTCACGTTCTTCCTGTATAGGTTTTGATGAGGTTTTCTGTCCCTGTGGAGCGACAGTTCAAGAGCCACCCATCCCGTGTGGTAAACTTCCTCCAGTTTGCCACAGACCTTGTTCCAGAATGCATCCGTGTGAACACGAAGGTAAAACACTTATAGAGGTTAAAGGCATGCGTTTATATAGCTATCAAAATAAGAAATATATTATTACGATTGTTGTGAAGCAGTAATTTGTAAAACTTTGTAGTTCACAAAGAAATGTATCATGAAATTATAATGTCACAGTTTTTTTATAGAATACAAGATAAATTGTATTTACGTTTCATGGCTTCGTTTGTCTATCCATTAAGAATATTAAGAATACGAGTACGACGTCTGTTCTCAGATGTTTTTTTGTTGAATTTGTCTAGTGCAACACAATTGCCATTATGAAGAACAGTGTCCTCCGTGTACTGTGTTGGTTTCTAAATTGTGCATGGGTGAACATAAGGTACTAAATCGTGCGTTCCTCCAAGTCACAACAATTTTAAAAAGTTTCGCATATGTAGCATGTTGCTTATGCTAGCTTCTATTTTTTTTTAAGCAAAGACACAACATCCCATGTCACATTGAATCAGTTTCTTGCGGTGAACAATGTGGAAAACCTCTTCAGTGTGGAAAACACAATTGCCTCAAAGGATGCCATAGGGTGAGTATAGATCAAAATTATAAAATCAATTAACGCTTTTTCGAAGGACGAGTGTCAAGGAGTTTTAGAGGTAATAAGGCTTTTGCATTGAACTGCTTACAAGAAAGACGATGCATTTAATTTCTCATTTGATTTTAGGTGCAGTATTTAAATGTTCCATTCACCCACCCCTGTGTTATCACTGGTACTACCATTGGACTCCTATATTGGATTATCACGCTATGTATTCTTTTATATTTCATGTTTTAGCCGCCATGTTTGAAGGAAGATGAGAATTGTAAGCAGCCTTGTGTTCTAGCGCGACAGAGTTGTGGGCATCTCTGCGGGGCGCCGTGCCATGAGGGAGAGTGTCCGAACATCCCTTGTAAAAGCAAGGTAAAGCGCTTGTTATATTACATTGCGCGTTGTGTTGTACTGTTTTTGCATTTTGTTTGGTTTCATGACCTTTCTTAACCGAACTGTCTACTAAATTGACGCGTGTATAGTTTATCTGCCATAAACAAAACTATAATCTATAATATATATGAGGTTATATACCCTGGGTAACTGATGCTGAGCCACCCTTTATCTACACGAATAGCAATATAGGAAAATACACTCCGTAGCTTAGTGGCGAGAGCAGAGCACTGAGGTCCAATTCTGCAGGAGGACATTAGTTTTTGCACCGTTCGCCGTTTGTTCCTGTGTGCGTTTCTGTGCCTTCGTTTTCCAACTTACCATTTGCTATCAACCGCGTTTTCTTTGCATATATAGGTTCGCATATTTTGTCCTTGCGGTCGAAAATCAGAAGATGGTGTTTGTCTCAAAGGTGGTGACAAAATGGACGCTGCTAAAGCTTATCAAAGGTACACATGACCAAAGTCCATAAAAATAGAAAGAAAAAGCAGTTCGCGAGTGCAAGAATTGGGATGTTACTCTGATCACTGCATGTGGTGGAGCTTTGTGTCGTGTGAGAATTACACATTTAGTCGCAAAACGAGAGAAAGTATTAAAAAAGCCTCAATTAAGGCAAAGGTTGCATGAATTACGAATGGTTGCGATGTGCATTCAGGTAAAACCGAAAAAAATACCAGGCGCTAGTCAAACTGGATTGCGGCGATGCCATTAGTTTGATAAATGCATACTAAATGCATTATTCAATAGTTTTAAAAGTATCGGTTGTGACAGGTATAACAACCCGTGATGCTATTCCTAAATTATTTCACAGGACCGAGGATAATTTGAATACGTAATTGTAGACTTAAGGTTAGATTAAATTTAGAGTATGATATTTCAGCCCAAATTAGCTTGGATTAGATTTTTGCCTTTCACGACAGCTTGGTTACGCTATAACGAACCTCCAGCGTCGAGATCCGATTTTTAACTTTTTTATATAAGCAACTATAATCTTTTGATATTTGGTAGTAGTCGTCAGTCACGTTGAATTCGTTGTTTCCTTTTGCAATTTCTGCAGGTTCACCACAAAGAATTTGGCTGAAAAGATTAAGGGTATGCAAGGAGGACAATCTGTGGATATCAGTGGCCTAATGAATTTAGACGAGAGAAAATCGCAGTAAGTTATAGAGTTTTGAAAATTTGAATATCTTAATCTGTATATTTAGGTCTTGTAGCGTTCAATATATTTATATATTGATCACTTTGGCCTAAAGTATGTAATATCGTAATGTTTCGATCTATTTTTAAATTTTTCTCATTTTAGATTAGACTGCGACAGTGAATGTGCTCGGCTGCAACGTAACAGGTATATAGAATTTTTAAATTTTAATCTTACGTGTCACCAGTAGCGTAGCCAGGCGCCTGACGATTTGTCCCGCTATGCTAATATTTTAGTGTTCACTGGTTGTGAAAACAATGAATTTCTAAAAAAATGAATAATTATAATAACTGGAAATTTACATAGAGGGACAAAATCCTCATGCAGGCTGGCTAATTGCATGGTCAATAAATTGGTATTTATGTAGGGCATGCAGTTGCAGCTATACATGTGTGATATCCAACTATAGGTCTGCATGTGCGGTATATGGCTTAGGAATTCCATTGAGAATTTTGAACCCTATACACTATTACAGTGTTCAAACACTGATAAAAGGTTTCATTTTTTTTTTCTAAAACAGACTTTTTATCTATAAAAGTCGACATTTCGCGGGAATATATTTTGCGTACATATGTCTGTAAAAGTTTAAGATCTTGATTCAGTGCAATGATGCACCGGAAAACTTTTTCTAAAACTTCACTTCAAAGTACAAATTAGACATTACGTAGTGGAAAGGTTTTCGTTTCATGCATTTACATCTGAAGGTGGATGCTTTCCGTCACGATTTAGGATTCAACTACCGTGTTTAAACACTAGTTTTCCATCTTTGTTCCCAGGGCACTTGCAGAAGCTCTTGGTATTTCACGTCCCGAAACTCCAGAAATCGTCCAATATCCTCACTTCTTGGAAGAACATGGAAGGTATTAGTGTTATTCTTTACAATGTGATTTGCCGTTGAACACGACTGCTGTATTTTGCCGAGTTTTTTGCTGAGTAGCAATATTCGCCTCAAGCCTAGCCGCTTTTACGATATTGAATGGGATAATAACATGAACCATGCACATTAGCACATACTGTAATCCGGATTACGGCCTTTCCGCTGTTCCGCTACAGGGCTGCTCTTTAACTAGAGCTGAGCTATTTTATTAATTCTGATTTCCTCTATTTGATCATTTCTAGAGCGAACATGAAGTTTGTTTATTTGGTTGAGAATGCCTTAGATAATCTAATCAAGAACGTTGCAAAGGTATAGGCCTAAAATGATATACATGCATTATTTTTTTACAAATCAGCAGCAGAATTCTATATCGTATGTTCGAGAGAAAGTGTATTCGTTTTTTACTAAAATAATTTACTAAAAGACTAACTATTGTCACGATAAAAGTAAATTGAACGAATGAGGTTTGGATTGTTTTATTTGTAATCCTTTGTTGAGGCTGATTATATAATATATAATTATAATACGACCGAAAGTTGAATTCACCGTTTTGGTCAGTCCGGATAGAAAAATATTTCCTCTCGACCTCCAAAACAGCCCGAGGCCAAAATGTCCCTCGGCGTTAATACCTCGGTAATTTTCTATCGATTACGGGACATTTTGCACTAAATGGAAACTTCCCATCACCAAAGAAAATTGGTTGTTTACTGCTGAAGTAATGAGGTGTTTTAATGACCAAATCGCTACCATCATGCAGTTACCCTAATCAATATATCTTTATCTCAGGTACAAAGTCAGCAACTGAATCATTCATTTGCACCAATGAACAACAAGAACAGGCGATTCATCCATGAGCTGGCGACGATGTACGGTTGCACGTCGATTAGTTACGACCAGGAACCGGACAGAAATACGGTCGTTACTGCTAATAAGTAAGTCGGGATATCGACATTTTTTATCATACAATTGGCCCATTATTTGGAAACCTAGACTCTGTCTAGAAAGTATATTTTATCATTTTTCCTCTTGTGTTTCGCAGAGAGTCACGGTGTCCTCGAGTAAAACTGTCATCACAACTTCAACGTCAAATGAACCCTCAACCACCTCCGCCCGTACCTGTTTTACCGGAAGAAGGAATTGGAAATGTGAGGTAAGTTCAATTATGCTTCTTGCTTTGCACGTTATGACTGTACATTGATTCACATAATAATTATGATACGAATGACACAAATCTTAATTTGGAGTGATTACACGAAAAAAAGATAGTAGGATTTCCTCGCACCTGGACTAAGGTCCTGCATGTAGTTAAACTACGATGTCTATTCTTCCTTTGTGTTCCTTTCTATGTGGATTGATTTTCTTTTTTACAGTCAAATTTGAAAACCAAATTTGGCAATTTTATTAATTAAAAGTAAGCTCTTTCAGAAAATCTCCTTTTTATCGCCGAGGTATTAGAAACATAAGGTATTAGAAAACTCTTTAGACGTCTCTATATACAACAGTGAATATACATTAGGTTTGCAAGTGGGACCATTGTCCTGTCCATATTCAATCCATTCTTATATAATTATAGCTCTATCAACATGCAGTACAGAAATTTTATCAATTTCTTAAAACTCAGGTCAAGCTTAGACCTCTTCACATGCAACTATATTGATATTATTAGTTAAAAGACATCTGGCCGTCTTTTTCATTTAATGTAGATTTATCGAGAGACGGCAGTCGCCAGAAAGGGACGCAGTTGATTACTTCGCCGATGACTTCTAGTTTTGTGAGCTATGAAAGGAAAGTAAAATTTTGTCGTGGATTTGGGTGTTTCAAATAATATATGCAGACTGTTTCAGTATATTTTCCGCACGCGCGCGACAAAAATACCGTAGCTATTAGCTATACACTATAACTTTTTTCAATTAAGTTGGCTAAACTTAGATTTGTAACGGCCATGTTGAGCCTTTATTACACGCTAGCGACCCCACTTGCGAATTAATTGCTGATAATTTTGTCCCCTAATATAACCCTTAAACAATTTTTACCGCGTCATTGATATATATCTATATTATAAGTAAACCTATGGTTCTCATATGTCGCCGACAGTCGGCGATGTACTGTTTGTGGCCGGTGACGAAGAAAGTTTATTCCAAACCACGATAGGCATCGCCGACCGTCGGTGACATTTGAGAACCAGGCTTTAAATATCGTCGACATTGGCTGCGGTAGCGACCCTTTGGACGTGACGTCACAGTGTGAGGACAAATTAAGTTTGCAAATAACGTAAATTTTTTGTAAGATACAGAAAAATTAGCCAGCGAAGAAACTTTACCGCGTTAATTATTTTTGTCACCTATGTAACTCTTTATACCTCTCAGATAAAAAATATTTTAGTAAGCTCAAGGAAGCATCTAAAAAACCAGGGAGTATGACGTCAGTGCAACGTCTTCTTAGGGGGTATTACGTCAGTGCAATGGGTCTGACAATACTGGCAACTATACATGGCGAAAAAACTAAATCTAAATTTGAACGACAGTAATTTGTTTGGCTACTTCACTATATATATACATGTACTGTTGTTCTGTCTTGAACAGTGGCATAGCTTCACGATTTAGTGATTTTAGTCCCAAATTTTAAGTTAGTATGATTATTCATTTTTTTGGACGTTGATTTTCTTCAATCAATGATCACAAAAATATCAGCGTAGCGGGTCTTGGACTACGGTCTTGGTCTAAATCCATATATCAAGCACGATCACGAAATACTACTTTCAAAGTTGCATTTCGTGATCGTTTGGACTGTAATGAAAATGAAATACTTTTTTCGATTCGTGAAAAAGGGCACAATTTCTCTGGAACATAAAGCCGGGGAGCATGTGCATACAATGCCCTCCCTCTTTTGAGTGTATATAGATATATATCATCTGTTATGTATTTGCATGTTGTGCAAATACGTAATCTTGTACAATCAAGTTCAAAAGATATTGGGAGCTTGTAGGATATAACACAGGATATGATATTTTTTCCTTCCTATCATCATATTTCTTTCCTCGTATTATTATCAGTTGAACTATAATAGTAAATAGCGCCTGCATGCATGCACGGATCTGTCCATGTATGTAGGTACATAGGCGGTTGGCTTTAACTCGGCAAAATAAAGCTTCGATATTGATTTAGATCAATCAGATTGTTTTAAAATTTGGATAAAATCAAAACGGGGTTTATTCCCTTAACTTTCAGAAACGCTGGGGAAGCATATATAGTCTAAACTGACTAGAAATAAAAGAATGTGTCTTGGTTTTTGGGCCAGACTAAATATTTGAATTCCTGTTGAATTCTTCGTCATCCTCATCAATGATTCAATGATCTGAATATTGTACGCAAAAAAACAGGCACTTTTAACTAAATTTTACTACAAAATAGCAGGCTTTTAAGTAAATCAGTAGCTATATGCTCAGTCTATGTGAAGCCTGTAATGTATTCATTTTTATTAGTTATCTATAGATTCTGGGTATGAAGCTGACATCACCTGCATGCATGTGCATGTCATCCGTTTCAAAGGGTTTTAATATGGCTATATATGATTCCGTTTTGCAAATTTACTATTGAGTTAAAATAGACGAGTTAACCTGTCAAAAGTGTCAAAATTGACATTTGCAACCGACCCTCAAAAGAGTTGAAGCCGTACTGAATATGAATATTAGTTCTTTTCGGCTTGCGTGTGGTGACTCAATTATATATGACGACGGTAATATGAATAGCATAGGAAAATGTTTTTGTAAAAGGGATCAATATCTATGGGGCGTAACGTGCATTAAAACCATTTAAAATTACCTTAAAAGGTAGCAAGTACAAGTCAATACATACAATTAGTAATATTTCCAAATCAATATCGAGGATTTTGACCTTGCTGTGATGCATGAGGCCGGAAGAGAGGTAATAGCAGGTGTAAATTTCAAATCACTTTCTGCAATAATTGTTAGCTTGACTGCAATACATATTAGTTGAGTGCACGATTAATCATGGCTAATTCAATTTGTGACTGACTTCACCTGCATGCTTTACACCTCTTTTTATATCTACGGCTGTCAACTATATTATTGAATAGTAATATTTCTCTCCAAAGAACGCGGCAGGAGGCTGACCGGTCATGAGAATACTCTCTGCCATATTGATTAGTTTTTCATTAGAGCATTTTACATTTAAGACCTGGAAGGTCAATTTCATCCGGCAAAGACAAACGTATTTCAATTCAATACACTGAAATTTTTTAATAGACTTGCAGAATGTTGATGTTGAATGTTAAATGTTGAACTATTTTAAGCGCTATATACTGTAACAGGATTCAGCCTTTGTATTGGTATAGACTGAGCACGGATAGAATTGCGTATTGGTACCAATAGACTTTTTCAGCTTGCATTCAGATGTTGTGACCATGGAATAGCCAATAAAACTTAACCATTTCAGACCATATGATTTGAAATGGGTTAATTTGCATACAAGCTGAAAAGGTTTATTTGGGCCTGCTAATAATAATTTGGGTGTGGTATACACGAAATTATAAATTGCAAATATCTCATTTTTCTAAAGTGCAAAAAGTTGATAATAGATACTTCTGCCCTCATACATTCCATGCAGTTCATACAATCGTGCAAGAATGGCCAATTGCATCATTTGCATGTTTCTGGAGACTATTCCTGAGTTCCTCCGGCCGCCATCTTGTTTTATAATTAGATTAGGGAGCTAAAATATCAGTTGAAAGCTGGGACATCATTTGAATGTAAATTAAGATACTTGGGTCGCATGCAGTGACGAAATCAAAATCCCAGACTTTACCCTGTGCAGTGAGCATATCCACGTCCACATGTCCTTATAAACAAATATTTGCTTGCAATTATCTCGAAAGGTTTTTACAACTGTGCTGTACAATTGTAATAAGGGAGAAATACGCTCGATATTTCCTTCGTGGGTTTTAAGCTACAGTCTTCCTAAAGAATATCTCTAAAAACAAGTTTCACTGTCTTAATCATTGTAAGGCTAAATTTCCACTTGCAGAAAAATGGTTTGCATATTTCCTTTAGAATATCGAACTATGTAAGTGGAACTATGAACAAATGGAATCCAGCCTAAGCCTAAAGGCCGGATTCCACTTACAGCGAAATCGTTCGCTAGCAAAATATTTGCATATTTTCTTTTGAATTTTAACAGCATCAATAAATTACTGCGACTTGACTGTTCTCAATTCAAAAGAAAATATGCAAATATTTCGCTAGCGAACGATTTCGCTGTAAGTGGAAATCCGCCTTAAGGCATGCATTCTTATTCGAAATAGTGATTAATAGCAAATTCCACATTTTTGTGTTGCTGTTTTTGTTCTAGCTGTGTCCCCCAAGTTATAAGCGAAGCTGAAAATTTGAAAAGACATTTGAGAAGAAAATTCCTTTTGCTTTGTCTTTGTGACCCCTAGAGGAAAAGATTCCTTGTGTTTCTGCTTATGCTTATTTCACTCGTGTGAACCAGGCTTAACAACACGTGTGTAAAATATGAATAATTTGTACAAGAGCTAGGAGTTCAGTCTAAACCTAGTTTTACTAAGCGCCAAACAAAAGGGGGAGCTTACAATCTATATACTGTTATCGAACTGACAAACTTCGATTTTATAATTAGGGCTTTGCACTAACGATTAATATTGGTTTTCGACAAATATAGACAAGTGTGGCAAGTGCCACATAAACTCGACCAATCTTACACTTTTGAAACGATGATATTAACACTTTATCAAATGTCAGCTATATTCGTACAAAGTCGGATGGGAGCTGCACGATCCGTTGTAATTGAACTGGTCTTTGAACACAGATGACTGGATGTTTATCACAAGGTATAAGATTCTCAATTCTCTGTGTTTGAATGTATAAGCGTTTATTCAACAAACAGGAAGCGCTAGGCGTGGAAAATTCTAGGCTTTTAGTTTTAGACAATGCTTTTGATTATGAACTTGGAGATAAGCAAGAAAATATTAATTGAAGAAATTTAACAAAATGTAGACATGTCAGCCACTCAAAGAAGAAGCTTTAACTCTTTATAATCAGTCATTGCCTGCATGTAACCTGATTACGTATTCTTGATTTTTTGAGACAGATGAAGGAACGTGGGCCGACAGCTCGTGGTTATATTTTGACCATATGTCTTTGTTTACCGCGTATGAAAAAGTAATATCTTGAGGTAGGAATACATTTTATGTGTACAGTATAAATATAGAAGCTGTAGGCATGGAGACTGATTTGTAATGATAATATACTTCTATTATAGCATATTCTATATAGCTTCCTCTTGAGACTATAGTCCTTTTATAGTTCTTTGTGTACAACAAAGTGAATTTGAAGCAATTCTTTGCGTTACGTACTTTCATTATATGTTTGAAACACACCAAAATCATGGCAATCGAATTCAGCATTTGTTTCCATTTTCCCTATAAATTGCTGGGTGTATATATATATATGAATGAAATAAAAACATATGAAGTTATAGGAAAATACTATAGAGAAAAATGCTGATAATAGTTGCACAACAATCGAGTTCGCCAAATTCATTCATGCATGTGCCTTATATTATAGGATGTATTTACACTCGCGCGATACTCGTAAAATTCGCTTGAAAGTTTGACGTACAAGGCCTAGTTACTACTCTGAATAGATGTTCAACGTTGGTTTTTAAGCTTGCTGTACGTTCGTTGAATGTAGCGTTTTAAACAGATTGATGTCAGTTTGGTAGGAATTTAAATCATGTGTGACATTATAAACATGCACATGACATTCATGAGTGTACCAGATACTTTCCTAGAAAATCCATACTCATGACTATGGTGTATGGGGAATGAATAAACGTGGTTGCCGTAGGGCTGCATGATCAAGTGTACTTATATCCTAAAAACTGTAAGGAAATGTCGAATTTTATCATGTTCTTTGTCGGTTGTTCTCTGTCGGTTGTTCTTTGTTTTACAGGATTTTGATATTCATGCACAGATCTTAGTACAATGAATTATTAATAGATCAACCGTATAAGGATGTTGACAACTTTAGGGTCTGCTGGATTTAATTCGGCTTAGCAAAAAGTCATTCGTGGCCATTGGCGTAAGCCAGTTGCTCTCGTGTGCGGGCGACTTTTCCAGTGACTTTCGTCATTCGTGCCAAAAGTCGCCGGAAAAGTCGCCCGCACACGAGAGCAACTGGCTTACGCCGATGGCCACGATTAACTTTTTGCTAAGCACATAGCTCTAGTGTGCGCCGGCCTTAATACTCGTGCATCGAAATCGTGAGGATGATAGAACAATTTGTAGTCTAGCTCCGTTCGGGACCGTCGAAAATCAATCTCTCCATTGAAAAATTATATAAGAATTTGTACCGCCTAAGTTTACGTATCCCTTTAAATAAGAATCACAGTTTCAGAGGATCAAGAAACAAATTTTGACGTTAATAAGCAGACTGTAAAAGAACATTTTATTAAAATATTACACACCACTTCCCACTCCCTGTATAGGAATCCGTACTATTCTGATACTATTCTGGGAATATATTGAAAAAGTAAGGAAATTTTAGCTGACTCTATATATATAGGAAGAATATAAAATGCTACGTATATATAGAGCTAATTTCATTCAAATATTCAGTATAAAAGTTTTAAACTTTTGAGAAAACGTCATGCAGGCGTATATACATTGTTGAGATTTTCAACATACAGGCTGCATGCATGCATCATCGTCCCCAAGCTTTTCGGCCTCTGTTTCAAACGCCAAGTTTGCATCTTTCAAAAGTAGAATTGCACTGCAAGTTGCAAGAGAAGTTGCACTGCATGCATGTGTGAACGACAGCCTGTGGATGGGAATATAAGCCAAGGTCTCGCATGACACGAGCGCGGGTGTGCAGTATAATCCTGCATAAAATATCTCTTTCAAGAGGAAATCGATTAATGACGATTATGAATATTTACCTCCCTCCATCTTTATAGTTGCAGCACTGATTTGAACGACACTATATTTTGTTATCAGGTTACGTGTGTGTGTCTTGCAAACAACACATGCTCCCTGGGAGTCGAGCTCTGATTTTAATTTTTAATTCACAAAATTAATCTCATTCTAAGAGAACCTAAATTATTTGAAGGCTTCATTTATATTGCCAACAATAAAGATGGCCGAAATCCTGTCCCATGTTATAGCAATCAATGCATGCGTAATGTTTCGCGCTGGTTTTCCACACACCGCGCTCATCGGCTTGCACAGACCATTGTTTGAATGATTAAAAGTATCAATAACCGTTTTATTGTCTTGAGCTTTGCTTTACTTTAATGAAAACTTTTTGTAAACTCGTCTTTCTTATTACATGGCTTAGTACTATATATACAGTGTCATTTTTGGCGTTGTTATTCAGTTTAACGATTAAAAACTTATAATACAAAACCCAAATAATACAAAATTTTGTTCAAAATCTAGTGGTTTCTGCGAAGAGGTTATTGCACGCCTGCTGCCGATTAATTATATATTTTGGTGATTTAATGAAAAACAACGAATTTCAATATCACCTATCAATAACGCTCATTAATAATTTCTTTATATTGAAATTGGATGTTAAGCGAATCTATATTCCTCAGTCACCTTAGAGAGAAAAGGCAGCTTAAATGATTTTGACAGCTAGACCGTTTGACTACATTGATCGTTCCACTGCCATTGGCGTTCCCTTCCGACCGATATTAATGTAAAGCACTCATGTAAGCGACGTGTTTCCATTGAAATACATAGATCCTTTAAAGGACCCGAGAAAAGTCTATTGTTATTCTCTTGACATCCGTCTCCATACCTTTCATTTCATTTCTAATGCATTCGAATTTCTTGGCAGATTGTCGGCGTACAGAAATTGGATAAGGTCACTCGTTACCTTCAAGTCTGTGGTTTCTTGATAACGGCAGAAACGTAAGTTGTATAAAACGTATAAGTTGTATTTCGCACGAGTGCCTGAGAACAAGTGTATAAGATTTCCTGGCCCGTGACGATTGCTTTCGTGATACTAAACAACTATTAATCTCTCACTACATCCTCTGCATGTATATATACTCGCATTAGAGATATGCAGACACCTTAATCAATTATACTCCAACGCATTTTTGGAGTGAACCCAATTCCCATCAGCATTACGTATACAAAATCGTTGCCACTGATTCGAAACTGCATTCTTAGACGATTTATATTATTGATTTGGCCGAAGATTTAGCACGGGTAGTTTACATGCGGCATGCGGGTTCGAAAATAAGCAAGTTGGAAAAAACTCGCTGGCTTTGCACGTTCATATAATTTACAACTTTCAAATTGTATGTATAAATTATGTGCACTGAATGCTTTCTATAAAGCATGCAAACTTCTCATTTGTTGCAAAACGCGCACGATTTAACTGGTTTTGTCAGGTTACCAACTGTCGGTTCAATTTTAAATGTATATTTGTGACTACTGTGAATTTCTCGAAATTTTTAGTGGCCAAAACATCAAGCTATATTTCGGTAAACAGTGTGTGGTTTGATTCCATCATTAACAAAGATGATCATGTATTGTCTTCTACGTTAGCATATGTGTTGTTTTATTAAACTCAGTCAATTAATTAATCACAAGAGCCATTCCGAACAATACAGCTTCGTAATTTGTTCCCAAATCCCCTTGTTCAGAAATAAACAGATTGCGTGCTATTTAATCGATACCGAATTCGCAGTTCCTCCATGCATAAAATACTCTACGTCGACTCCTCTGGAAACGAGCAAAGCCCACTGATGCTGAAAATAATGCATGCATCATGCTCAAAATAGATATTAAGCTATATATATATATATATGTATCCTTTCAAAGGGCGGGCAAAAATCCACGTAAATCTCCTTAGCCTAAAGTCTAAAAAATATAACTTCTTGTGTTGAATATCTACCCGACATTTTTTGCTAAACGAGATATTTTAATTTTGAGTCCATATGTTAGCTACAGTTTGTTAGCTACATATAGTAGCTACAGTTTTTATGGCAGGTGCAAATTGAAATCGTTGAGTTGTAAAACCTTGTGGCGCCTCCACAAAGATTCTCAATTAATTGATCCGCTCTCGAGAAAGAATTGTTTTATTTTTCTCATTAGCCAAGATTAATTGACTGTTTTAACACAAGTTTCCGGGCGCTTTTATTTGCTTAATCTTGGATTTCGTTGTTTGTCCTTCCGCCAAGGACACTTCTTCTAATAGGTAAGATTGACAGCTTAGGTAAATATTTGATGGACCTCATGCACTTGCAACTATATAATATAATTTTGCCTTTGATTGAAAATATATGAACCACTAAATTATCGATACATATATTACATTTGGGTTCCTATTGGCCCGGCGTCATCGAGATTTATCCTTTGAAACATTCGGGGCAGGTGTTCGGTCTCCAGTCAAATTACTGCATGAATGAGAACTCAGCAGCTCTCGGATTCAACAAAGAGTATATATAAAATAAATTTAACATATAGCGTATATGTTATCGCGTATAACTATAAAGTGAATTCACATTGCATCTATAGTCATGTTTGAAATTACAGCACCAGCCTGCATGTGCATGCATGGACAGTAGTTTTTGCATACAAAATTTTACCGGCATTTCAGATATCGCTTCGAGTCGCGCGATATAAATTCGTCTATAGTGCATTGAAAACGGACTTTTAAACAAGTTTCTTTGAGGCTGAAGTTTAGCTTTTAAGATAAAAACTAGGCCTATGGTTATTGAATCATACCTCCGTACCCCAGCTCGTATAGGAAATGAAATTATTTTCCGTCCCAGCTCTCTATCATCCGATTAATTCGATTTCTGACGTTGAGTATTTCAATGCATACGATCGAACTCATGATGCCCTAAATTGTTGAGATGTTTATTATATTATCAGGTATGTGAAATATGTTGATCCCTCAGGTAATTTCGATCAGGATATGCATTGATATGCCCTTCGGGTGGGGATTAAAAATGGATGAATATTGGCATCTTGAATATTGCCATGAAACACTGACATATCGAATAAAGATCAGAAAGAAAATCACCAAACTCGTTCTGATCTTGTTTCGCCTAATCATCTTGGGTTTAGATGAAAATTTTTGGTGCATGTTATTTATATCATATTAAATGAAACTGTCAATTGGTTTTTTTCAACATGTTTATGTGGAATGGCGAAAGACGCGGCTGTATGCGTGCGTGACATGCACGCATTGCCGCTTTTCAGTCTCTTGCAACATTAACGCTATTTTCCACCCAATGCAATTTGCAATTGTGAATGCTTCCATGTATCTGGATGAAAAGAGAAAATCCCTCGCATTGAGCGCGCTTGTTGGTAATGGCGATCGATGAGTAAGAGTATTTAGTTTGTGAATTTATGGTATATGCATGTTTTATGGCAAAATCTCGATAGCTTTAATTATTTGTAGATTCTCATGCAGAAGATTGGTGTTTTTGAAATTCTTTTTTTTTATAAATTTCATCAGTTGGTATAACTCAGACCGCCGAAATACCTGGGTGTAATTAGCCGGGCGGAATTAGTATTCCTCCTGCGGAGTTTCGTTTACGAATTTTCGTTCGCGAATTCACGAATAGCTTTAGGATCACTAGAAATTGCTGATTCACAAATAATCTATGACACAAGAGATCTGCTATTTAAACATTGTTTATGTCTCACAAGAGATCTGCCATTTTAACACTCATTTATGCTGTGTTGCTCACGTCCTGTGATGGACTTAACTCATTTAGGAGATAAAGTTTCACTTAATCTCTTAACTAAAACCATTTCAAGCAGGGTTTCGAGTCGATATTATACTTTTCAAGAGTGTTTGATGGAGCTTATAAAATAATTGCCCTAAATTTGGTTTGCGGTTGTTTCCCGCGGATTGAATTTCCTCTTCTTGTATGACCTATGCTATGCTGTTATTAAATCATTCTGTCTACAAATCTTTCATCGCTGTATTCTTCATGTTTGGAAGTATTTAAATGGCGCGCTCAACACTTCAACTTCCATCAGATATTGCCACATTTACGCGTTATCGTGCTAATAAAATCAACGCAGTTTCGTCATTGTTCGGTATCGTCCTCGAACAGGGCTCGCATCCCATCAGTGCGAAAAATATGAAACAGACACTTTGATATTAAACAAGCGAAACCACACAGGTCAATTGAGCCCCCTGGTTAGTGGCCTTTTGTCGCCCCTCGACAGTTTGTGTTTCGCATCCTAAGAATGGCACACGATTTTACAACCATGGTTTCAATCTTTCAGATTTAGTTTGTCGATCTTTAAAGTTGTTTATATTGCTCTGGTGCATCCGTCGAAGGGACTTCTGACCTCTCTAGATCAACAACCTGTTGCCTGAAGGATTAGGTAAGGAATTAATGGCGGTATTTGTATTTATTTGATGCGAATGAATAGTAACAAGATTGATTTAAGTTTCTAATTGTAACACATGTATAGGGTCTGGGTGGCACGAGTCGTCGTCATTCATTGCGCGATTGCGTCCTGATATGTGAATAGGCAATCGTTGCGATTCGTTGAACCCTCTACTGAATGGCAAATCACTAGAATGGTCTCTCTCTTTTGTGTCATACGAGGCATTATTCATCAATACCGTAGCCTGTGGGGGCCTATAGTCCACAGCGCAAAATTTGAATAACTTTGTTCACACTTATAACGAATGTTTTTGTTGATATCGCCCAGGTTTAATGTTAACGTGAGTTTAACTTCGTGTCAAGCTTTTAGTTACCGAGATGGGTTTACGGTGATGAAAACATTAAGTTGACTCGATATCAAATGAATGCCCATGTATGGTTTAATAGGGTTATAACTAATTTGTACATCCTATACTAGAGATAGGCTATGTTATCCTTTCCTGTAGCTGGTAATATAGCTTCGTCTAAGATTTATCTACATATATAGAAAGATATAAATAATCACTATATAATCACGTATTCTCTAGCTATACATTCAGCTTTCACTAGACTTGATGAACAGTCAGTTTAAAAATAGCCGAGCTTATCATATATTAAGAGGGTGAAATATATCCTCAAAAAAAACGCACGCAATATGGCCGATATATTGTGAAAATAACACATACTTTCCTACAATGAATTTCCTGGATTATAGGCGTAATTAACAGCCGTATTGAAATATTTATGTGTTTGTTTCGTATTTTGGTATCTTTCGTTACTTTGCCAACAAAATTGGAGTGATATTTCTCAGGCAAGTGGCGTCTTGAGGTGATATTCGATAGTGTATATATTATTAGTACACCCGTGGTCATTCTAGCTAAGCACGCTTCATGCATGCACGCGCGTTATTATTATTCCCCTGTTGATCTCTGGTTCTTGAATTGCAACTTCAAAATACTTAACACCTCGTGTATATACGCGTTGCATTCGTCTGATAAGACACTAAGTACACACAAACAGATACGATCAATTGTAATTAGTTCTAAAAAGCTAAAGGAAACGATAAAGGGTTTACCATTTTTCAAAGCAAATCAGTTGCAAGTTATTTTTCATGTGCATGTATGCAAACTGGAAGAAGAGTAAACAAAAACAAATGTTGCATATACTGTCTTGAACCATGTATTTTAGACTTTTTCATGAACAGGGTGCCGAGGGTGGCCATAGTAAATAGCCTCAAAAGAATACGTCATTGATGATAATGATCTTTATATCGAAGTATTTTATTTGATGGCTACTATAGATAAACAAAGATGTAATAAGACGTCTGCAATGACAACGCATGTTTCCTCTCTCAAAGACTGTATAGCGTCCACGGTGAAATTAAAACGCTCTTTTTGTAGTTGAGAAGATTTTAAGTGCATTAAAAATGTGTGAAATGAGTGAAATGCTTGTCATTTGTGTTAGGGATTATTCGGTGTGGTATGCTATGTTTGTCTTCAAGGTAATTGTCTTGCAAGCAAATTATTGCTGGTCCATTTAGGTTTGCGATTAATCAATTATGAAATGTTGGGTTCGGTAGACGGTATACGCGATAGGAAACACTTCAATTTCAACACCCACAATGTGCATGCCAGGTGCATGGACATAAGTTCAAACTATTCAAAATATTTTAGGCAATAACAGAAAACTTTTTATAACGATTGGGCTAATTACCAAATCAAATGGAACGGGTTATTGAATAGAATCGATGTAGCCCGACTCTACGCATAAAAACAAAATTTATGCCATTTTTGTAAACAGTTGATGATGTAAATATTCTAGTTGAAAACACCGAAACTATTTACATGGATTTCCAATTTTAGTTTGTTTCGATGAACTTTTGTAATTAGGAAAAATGTTATTTGTCACCGGAATTTCATTGATTCCAGGTACGAAATATATTGGAAGTGCCGTACATGCAAACAAATATAGACTGATAGACGTGCTGTCCCTGCATGTTGTGCTTCTCCTTCAGTGAAATTTGCATGTATATGTAATGTGATCTAGGCCAATTGCAATAATTCTTACCAGAATGTATATGAGCCAATGAGAGAAGTTCACTTTATAAGCTATATATATATACTTTTTTATCATAGATAATCATTCACAAGATATATTTTACTATAGCCAATATATATTATACAATATACATCTAGGTATATATTGGAGGTGGGACATGTTTCCTTATTATCACACCCCCTTATATACTATTCGGGATTGACACCCTTGTTCACTACAGCGCAGTGCGCGACCACGTACCTAGCTGTGCTTTCCCATGCAGATATACCAAAACATGCAGATTTTCACGAAGATTAACATTGTTGAAAGGAAGTTAATTTGTGTTGTTTTTTCATTTACCCTTGTACCTCCGATTTAACTTTACCATCTGTCTGCAAAGACATTAGATTAGATTAGTATATCGGTTTGCCATTATGCGTTATTTACATAGCGAAATGACGGGGAAAAATAAATTATTTACTCTTCCATGCAGCCACTGAGACTCTAATTACAACAGCTCTATATAATTGCTTCCATGCGTCGATCGATTAAGTACTTTGTTCGCAACTTCGCGCTGGTCCAAATACGTCCACGGTATCGGATTCGCTCGTCACGGCTACTTTCAACAAATGCTTATTAATTTTAGAGATTTGCTATATTTGTTCAGGTCATGGATATTAAAATTATCAACGCCTTTTAATACCTACATGCAAAATTTGACCTGTTCCGATAGCATGCAGCAATCTCCTATCGGGCTTCATTTCGAATTGCATGACATTGTCGTATTTATAATCATATATATATATAAAGATGATTCAGCATATATAAGCAAGAATTGACACTTTATAAGCTAGTTTATTCGCAAAGTTTTGCGCAACGCTATATGTCGAAGTTTGCCGTTTTAAAAAGTGGTGTCGCCACAGCGATAAGAATCTAGAACTCGCATAAAAACAAGATTGCTGTCAACGCTCATTGATGGGCGTGTATATAACGAGCAATCCTGTCCTGACGAATGAGTATGACCTATTTCACCTGAGTTCATGTCTCGACAGTGTTTATGTATGAATGAATCAGTCGAATTTACGCTAAGCAATGTTTTAGCCACTTTTCCAAACCAGGGCGCTTATATACCAATATATTATTTTTACAAATAAATTCTCTGTTCCAAACCTGTTTTGGTTTGGTCTGGTTAGATTAAGTGGATTTGACATTTTCCAGCCGTTTCATGGCTTTCATCCAAGCAGATTATTAATATGTCACATAAAGTTGCATATGAGACATGAACATCAACAGAAATATAACTGAAGTAGTTATATTAGTTGCGTTTCTTACACGCATGACCCCATGCATTTTGTTGTATGGTTACATAATTATTAAAGTCATGTGGGTGCGCTATGTGTAGGAGCGATTGCAAGAAACATAAAATCGGTCAAATGTGTTCTGTGATGTGTCCCACAAAGTTATATAATACAATAATAATATAATACAGAATAAGATATATTGTGATCTTAGGTCCCATTTTTGGCTTGTTCGTCGGATTCGTCTCATTCGCCTTTCGCCAGCTCATAAAGAGCCAATAGCTTTGCTCTTGTCAACAAATCTATTTGATGTTACATACACGTCAATAGCGGTATAGAGAGCAACAGTTGAATTCAAGCGTGCGCCATATGTTCCAGACTTTTAAAACGAGACGGAAGTCTGTTTTCATGTCGTGTATAATTTCCTGTTTTCGTAAAGAAAACACGCGAGAAAAACAGGTTTAAGAGGTGGATTGGTATAGTATGGTATGGTATGGTATCCGAACACACTCAACAGTCATGCGCAGCCTTCTGTTTTCTTTATATGACGGAAAGCGCTCAATTTACTCGCAATTTATTCACCCATGCAGCCCTGCTAAATTCGTGTGCATTGCCATATATTGGTCCTGCATGGACGGTCTTAAATTAATTTCCAGAAACTTCTAAACTGTCAATCAAATATATTTTCTTGAGTCCTTGTGATATCTTCGTATGGAAGACTGGTTTTGCATTTTTTGATATGTTAACGCGTGTGTATGATGTTTACATGCAGTATAGATGTTAATATCTACGACGCGACAGCTACCTTCGATGCAAACAAAAAAACACATTTTAAAACGAGAAAGAATAATCTAGAGTTCTAAGGGTATAGAAAAAACAGACAGCTTTGTTTTTAAAACAAAGTTTCGCTTTACGCATGTCCAACAAGTTGAAAAGGTCTCTCATATGCCTATGCGACCGTGACTATTTCTTCATATATTTTTTCAGTAAAAAATATTTTAAGTAACATTCACGTCTCGCAAACAAGGTTTGGAGCTTGGTTTTACAATATTATATGGCAGTTTGTTTGTCATTTTAGTGAACGTTTCTATCGAACAATGATCTGCCCTGGTGCATCGTCTATACGTTACATATAGACGTTTTTCAGGCCAGCTTTCCGTGACAGTGATTATCAAAGTCAAATAAGTAAAAAATCAGCATGGTTTTCTGACGAACAAAATCGCTTCCAAACTCAGCAATATCAAAGTGATATTAAAGTCATTTTGATTATCAACTACCGTCACGCATTGCGCGCTTAAAATCTGAAATGAAAAGTTTACATGCTTGCATTATCTCGTATGAGAATCGGCCTGAAATATGTTAATCGTGATGGCTTTTATAATTGAAACTCGAGTATCTTTTGGTCTGTTTCAAACGTTGTCCTTCTCATGCGCCGAACGCATTAAAAACAATAGTTAATTAGTTGAGGTGCCTCGTTATCTATTGTTGATAATGCGTTCGCCACATGAGACAAACGACGTATATGAAACGCGCATCATATTGTCAATAACAGGTTTAGGTATTAACAGTATATAGTTTAGCTAAAAAAGCTGTATTGTGGTTGCGAAAGCCAAATCACATAAAGAAGTACAACCTTTGACTTAAATAGGACTTGCATTTGGATAATTATATGATCTCAATATTAAAGGCAAGATTGGAGTCAGCTAGGGCTAAACGGAAATGTATTGTGGAAGATAGGGTAATAGAGACTAGAGTCAAAGGAATTTTTATCGTGTGGCAAGGGTACATAAATAACAGCTGAAAACATGCTTATATAGTTATGATACTGACTTTGATCGATAGGCTATATATCAACAACTTTATGCAGATATTCCAATATACGGGAACTGGCTATGATTATATAAAGTTAACAACTTGCCTGCGCAGTTTAAATGCAAAGCACATTGGGAATCAGGCACTGTATATCCCACCCAATAATCATTTTTGGATCGTAGCTGACGTCACATGAAGGGTAATCAGTTTTATTTTTGCCAAGATTTCATAGTTTTAGCTCTGCGTTTCGATAGTAACGAGAGTTATTTCGTGCATACGGTTTTTATGTCCATAACTTTGATCATTCTACCATATGGGCATATCAGTCAAAAATTTATTAAACCAGCATTATCGTGGGAAATTGACCTCAAGTTTGAAATTAAATACAAACATTCTACGGTCGGGTATTGTCATGGTATATTTTTCACCATTTCGGAACAGCATATATGATAATATTTAGAAAATTTACGTGCATAGTCGTACAAGGTAACGTTTTATTTCGATACATATTTTATGCATGCGCAATTCGCAACATTTTAAAATATAATTTTCACAGGATTTTGCTGGTGTTATATTGTTTTGCATTAAGACGGGGTGGGGGGAATGCAAACTGCACATACGTCTATCATGCAGTTATCTGTTTTTACGTTCATAGCTTTGCTTTGACAATTGTTTTTCCCTTAAGGGTAAATCATTTCCTTGGCGATGGATAAATTATGGTTCGTTGTTTTGGTCATTCTTCTTCAAACGAGTGAGTGCAATTTCGCTGTTGTTTCAAACTATATCATGAATGCCCTGTGGTTATAAGCTGTCAGAGTTGCTGTCAAGAAACAAAAGAAAACAAAAGACCTATACAAAAACATAATTTCCCGTTAAATATCGACAAGGAATTTTAGTCCGATAGATCTGGCTATTAATCGAGGGTCATTATATAGCTCCAGGACGTGGTCAGATAAAAAAGCGTCTGGTTATTAGATGTTTGAAAGGATTTGCGTGTGATTTGTTCAATTTGTATAGATTCATAGTGATCTCCTCCAACTTGCGTGAGTTTAGGGCGAGTTTTTTTTCACCGTACATGAGTACTTAAAATATATAGATAAAACGTTTCATTCTAAATGTTGAATTGCTGTATTTTTTCTAGGAATATCTTCCCAGAATTGCGGCGAGAGATTTATCGACGAAGACGATGTTTCAAGATCAAGAAGAATTATTGGCGGAAACGAGGCTGCCATGAACTCATGGCCATGGATTGTGAATTTTTTGGCCTTCGGTAGGACGTCCCAGGTGTGTTCCGGAAATTTGATTCATCCACAATGGATACTGACCACCGCACATTGTTTTGTTTCGCCGTTTTTCCAATATTCTGTTGATGAATGGACTTATATTGCTGGAGACCATTACCTTAATGAAACAGATCCTTACGAACAGGTAAAAAGGTATATTGAAATGAGGTATTTCAGTTGTCTCAATGTTTGGTGTTGTCAAGTCTTTCAAGTCAACATTTCTCATCTTTCCCCAACAAGGAACTGTATCCAGACAAACTGTACATCCATCCAAAGTACGTTTTGATGTCAGACCTTTCTCCCGGAGATAACGACCTTGCTCTCATTCGACTGAAAAAGCCTGCTAAAATTACGCCTCAAGTGCGAACGATATGCCTGCCCAATGAAGATGAGAATACCGATTTCGAAAATAAAACGCATTTTGTCGTTGGATGGGGCAATATTATTGACACGCCAAAGTACACAAGATCCAATTACTTAAAGGTTTGTGAAAGACCTGACGGTATTTTTGTGGGGGGGGGGGGTAATGGAATATTAGACAATACAACAAACCAGCAACTCGCATGCAATGCACATGAGGTTATATGTGATACAGGGTGTCTCAAAAAACCTATTTCTAAAATTTGAATGACCTCTTCGCGAATTTTTGCCTTTGGCGATTAACGCAACTTGTAAAATGCTAAATACAAAATTTTTAAACTTCGCTTGAGAAGAAGGACATTTCGAAGGTCATGGTGCTTGAGTTGTAAACTTAAATATTTCTATCCACGATTGTGAAGTGTAAATATTTGTAATAGAATTCATTTGTTGGTACAAACAAATTTTACTGTCATCATGCATAAAAATGCTTATGTCAAACATTAACCCTTAACCTTACTTTCTGACAATGCAAAACCATGCTTTCTTGAATTCGCTTTAATTTACTAACGCTACGTCATTCGCTTTAAGTCTTTAATGTAACGCCATGTCACGGGTTGAGCTTAACATTCCGTGCACTTGGAACCAGGGTCCTCTCCCGCCTCTCACCCGCCCCTTTTATACCTTATTTCGCCTTTTTATACAGGAGCTGCGCATGGATATTATCCCTAAGGTGACTTGCAATCGCAGTTACGGTGGAAATATCACGCAACGTCAGGTATGTGCCGCTCATCCTGGTGGGGGACAGGATGCCTGTTTTGGGGATAGTGGAGGGCCGTTACAGTACATGAATGAAGATGGAAAGTGGGTCCTTAGCGGTGCTGTTAGCTGGGGAATAGGATGTGCTCGGAAGAATTTGTATGGTGTTTACACAAACGTGAAAGCGTTGCTTCCTTTTATTCACAAAATTTTAAAAGGTATGGTTTACTATGATCGATCTAACTTATTGCTACAATATTCGCTGGTTTCAAAACCAGTAAAAGCCCTAAAGACATTGACCATTTTAAATATAGTCGCTTTCAATCTTGAACTTCGCTACTTTCCCCGACTTTAATTCCAATTTCTTTGAATGGGCCACATTATAATTTTTAATGGCTGCATGAAAATTCGTGCTGACGCATTTGCCTTCAGCTCCCTGGATTACGTGACTATTACCAAAGGCGTTCTATACTTTAGAAATATGGAAGACCATTACAATCACCATGCAACAATAGCACATAGAAAAAATACAAGGATACAATTTTATCTCTTATTATAGGTGTGACTTTTTATTTGCAATTTCATTTTTCAGAGGATATGACATGTGGTGTTCGCCAGAAATACAATACACGACCTAAACGTATTGTCGGAGGTAACGAGGCGCCAATGAACGCGTGGCCTTGGACCGTGAATGTAATTGACAAGGAAACCCAAAAACAAATTTGTGGCGGAAGCATCATCGCTTCGAACTGGATGCTAACTGCCGCACACTGCTTTCTTGGACCCGGCCGGGAATCGGGTGTAGAACAATTTGAATACCATGTCGGAGATCATGTATTAGGAGAGATCGATAAAGAACAGCGGCAAATTGTTCCTGAGTTTTACTATATCCATCCCGATTACATCCCACCAACGTTGATCCATCCTGGAAATTTTGATGTTTGTTTGATAAAGTTAAAGTATTCACTGGCTTGGAGCAATGCTGTCACTCCGGTTTGTGATTTAACCTATTTTGATATGTTCTCTAAGACCTTTACCTTGTGATTTCTTATGGTAGTGGGATGCATTATAAAACCATGTATTGCATACGCACTTTGTTAACAGAAAACTGCCATTTTTATAAGTTTACTGGGAACGTTTACTCGCCGTATTTTGTCTTGTATCATATATTCATCATTTTAATCCTACCTAGGCCTGAGGGCTAGGGTTAACCAACCCCCCCCCCCTTCTTCCATCTAGGGCGGCCCTCCCTCTTAGCAACAACTACAAAATTATCTAAAGTTACGTGTCAGATCTGAAAAATTAACATGAACTATTGAAACATTTTTTCTGATGCGTCAGATATGTCTACCAGACAATCTCAACTCGCCAGCCGAAGACCGATGCTATGCAGTTGGTTGGGGAAACACGGAAGATAAGCGTGAATACAAACGACCCAGGGCGTTGAAACAGCTTCGGGTGGATATAATATCACACGAAAGATGCAACAGCAATGTATCGTATAATGGAAGTGTTCCCGAGACGTATATCTGTGCTGGTTTTCCAGAGGGCGTGAACGATACGTGTTACGGAGATAGCGGGGGACCTCTGCAATGCGATAATGGTGATGATTCGTGGAGTTTACGTGGTTTAGTCAGTTGGGGGATAGGTTGCGCCAGACCTAATAAATTCGGCGTCTATTCGAATGTCTCGAAATTTATTCCGTTCGTAAAGAAAGTTATGTCAGGTCAGTATATGCACGATAACTGTATTTGGATAGACTATAACGACAAACCTGCAATCATTAAATTGAGTTAGTCAATTCCTAGTAAGAAGACTGTAGACCATCCAGGTAAAAAGCTAGAGATATGAAGGAGCCTTTGCTTTCATTCGTACTTCGTAGTCTCTTTTAATTCCACTTCAAGCATTTTATAAAGGCATTTTATGAAGGCATTTTGTAAAAGCATTTTGTAAAGGCATTTTGTAAAAGCATTTTGTAAAGGTATTTTGTAAAGGTATTTTGTCTGCTGCGTGTCCAGGAATTGCTTGTTCCCTTCACAATATACCTTTCTTTCGCCTAAATTAGGTCGTGATTCACGGCTGCAGGAGATTCATAAGATGACTGTTAAAGACATCTACGAGCAACAGCCCGCCGAAAGAAGCTTAACTCAACTATGCTCGCTGACCTTGTTTTCGATAATCCAATTTGCTAAACCGCAAGTCACCACAATCGATATTGTGAGAACGTGGGCATTAATACCATCACAAATTACCGTACTGAAAGTCGCGACCCCAAATGATATGGCCGATGCATTTAGGTGGAACGTTGCGAAAACATGCAAGTCGAAAACTTTTGAAGATTACTTTGAAAAAGCGCGTGGTGTTGATATTGACGCCAAAAATGACACGTTAAGAAAATTTAGTGAACAGCTTAACCTTACAATTGTTGAAATGGCATTTTTCCTTCGACGAACCGTGGGCTCGTTGTTGTTACTGCCCAACATCAAATTCAAAAACGTCCAAAGAAGAGTCAACCAGGGAAGACTGGTGGAGAATCGGGTATCCCGCATGATTCAGCTTGTTAACAGTTTGAAAAACCTTCAGCCGGGCACTTGGTTTGAAGAAAATAAACTTAAAGAGATCGTGAGGAACTATTCCTACAAAATTGCTAAGAACCTCACAGATAGTTCGTTACGACGAATCATTTCGACAAACCATATCGATGTTTTCACGAAATATGTTTCGCTCAAAAATCTTGGAATATTCTTTGGTAACTTGTCTCTGGACGACCTGAGAATGATGAATTTGAGCGAGATTGTTGTGAATCTTATTGGTATGGATCGGGACGATTTTGTAAATAGGTTTTCAAGCCTCGACGTTGAAAAATCGCTCGATAATAGCATATACAACGTGGAAATGTACTGGGATATTTCCTCTGAATGGTTGACGCTTGAAAAACTGTTGATAGCTTGGAGATTCATGGAAGGTGATTGTAATGATATTGTTATTGAAATTCATCTTAGTTCAGTGAATTCCTCTTAACATTAGGGTTAAGAAAACCCAATCTCATCTGCAACATAAGGAGAATTGGAAAATTGAAGCAAATCGTAACAATGCTTTCACGACAAAACACTATTCATTTTCTTTCATAAATTGAAAGTGAAATACGGAATCTATCATTTCCCCTATTACTTTACACCGAATACATATAGTTGCGAACCGACATCGATACCTGAACTAGTTGTTAGTGCATGACAACGTCATTGTATGTAGCAAATTCAATATGTAAACACGATTTAGGTACGAGGTTGTTTTAGGTTTTAGGGCATCTCTGATAGTTCGAATTTATGTTCACGTTATATCGAGCGCTTTTTCCATTCTTAGACAAATTCAACTGTAATCACTGTGACGTTAGTTATGAGCCCGATTGCAATATCGTGTGTGCCCGGTGCGCTTCCGATGAATGCCGTCCTGTAAATAAAATCATAGAGGGACCCAAAGGTAAGTGGTGATGATTCGCACTTGAGAGTCGTATCACTTTAACACACAAGGTAAAATTAACATTAAATCGATAAGAGCCCATCCTCGTCGCATCATCAAAGGCCCAGTTATAAAGGAAGAATTTTCACACATGTCATTCATGCAGGTCTGATTTCTTTCCATGTATTTATATTTACCAAGTTGGATGTTAGTTCTTGCATGACATTCTTTTTCTTTCTTTCAGTTCGTAACATGAAGCTCGCGCTGATCTTTGGAGTATTTTCAGGTTGCCTGGTGGCGTTAATCATCATCTTGCTTATTTGCTTCATATCAAAACATCATCGTGCAAGGAACGCAAGTACGAGTGAAAAAGTAATGACTGATGACGAGACGGGAAAGTCCAGCGAGAGCCTCGCGTATAAAACTACGTCTAATAACAACGTTGTTTTCCTGCCGCCAAATAAGGCGATGAACGGGAAGACTGGCAGCTACGTCGCGCTGGAGTGCTGCGATCAGGGGGAGAACAGACGAAATGGGAATCTTGAGTCGATCTTGTAGGATAGTGTGGATTAGTTAGCGTTAGTTAGTGCTGCATGGTGCCGCTATGTTTAGCTCAAAAGTTAGCTAATCAGCATTGTCCTTATTTTGGCAAGATGATGATAACTTAGCATAAGACTGAGTCGTTTCTAAGTGCAAATTCACTTACAAATCACATTGCTGCATGTCATTTGCGCGAACAAATCGTTAAAGGGCACCCTCCTTCTACAAAGAAACATGGTTATGTGGTATGAGCGTTTTGCGCAATTTTTCTAAATCGATGGTACGGTTTTAGTTAAATACTCGAAATCACGTTCTCTGCCGGGAATGGTCATGGGACGATCTTAATGCCCTTATGTGGTAAAATATAGTAAACTTTGTATATATATTTATATACAAAGTCTAGTTTCATAGAATTATAATTTATTATAGACAACCTAAACGGTCAGCGTTTAAATTAGTAGGTAACTACGTCCTTAGCAAACATTCCAAATGTATTTCTCCCGCTTGCTGCCGTTCCGCCTATATATATTCCCTTCGCCTATCAAGAAGGACAAAAAATGGCTCTTTTTGCCAGCCTATAAAGACCATGCAAGGCCATACGCAATCTTACCGAACGTGATGTTAACCATATAATAAAAGTAGTTCAAGTCTTCACAAGCGGCACCTGTAGATTATTTATGTTACCTGCGGTATGTAGTCAATAGTCATGCGCACGAAGCAGATATTTATATTATATATTAATTATATATATAATATACCGTGAAACCTCTCTTTGGATTCAGAAGTAAAACCTAAAATTCTATCAGATGTCGAGGTTTAATTTGTTGTCATGCATTAACAGGTTTAACCACAAAACCAAAGCTCAGAATGAAGGCCAAAACCTAGTGCACCAACCTCCTCCTCCGCGCCCCAACACCCACACACACACACACCCACACACCCCCCACACACACTTTTTGAAAATTCTAGGATTTATCCAAGGTAAAATACCAATTAAGGTAACAAATCCGATCAGATTACGAATGTCGAAAATATAGGAAAATAAGAAAAAGGAACTTGATGAACATCATTCAAATCGTTTCTTTATTCAGTTATGCAATCCTACAATGAATTGTCTGATCGTGCAAGTGTTTTAAAACTATTGAAACCACATCCCCATGCAATTCTACACTACAAGTATATTTTGTAACCGTCAGCATCTCTACATGTTTTAGTAAATAATTAAGTGATTAGTTAAACACAAGAGGCAGGTTCACGTCGATCAAGCCATGGATATCTTTCCGGACTTTGAAATATGCTTGTTTAGGAGCATGAGTATCAACCGGAAGATTCACTTTACGTACCATCATGCCATAAACTGCAAAAAACGTTGTATCGACTTTAAAGTGAAGTTTGCCACCTTGATATGATACAATCGTTACTCCGTCTTTGAAACGTACAGCTCGTGTCCGTGGATAGACAGTCCAACCGCGTGGATACTTAAAACCAGGCATTGGTACTCTATCCAAAGAGACAAAATTTAAGTTGTTTCTGAAATCCTGAACCGTCGATGATGGCAGGACGTTCATACCAAAGGATATACTTATCGAAACTGGTCCGTCTTTAGTAACTGAATTATGGTACCAAAAGAATCGAGAATTCGTTTCAAGGCCCATTTCTTTCAGACTAATACCGGAGGAACCAGACGTATGATCGTCGTTTATATTGATAGCCAGTGTGTGTTGCTTGTCTTCCAAATATTTCTCAACCTTCAACTTAGCAGTAGCAGAATCTATAGGGTGATAGGCACAATCTTTACCCGATAGCGTAGAACAATATACGTAGTATTTATATATATATGTGTAGTCGGGGACCAATAGGTGACTCGTTTATTTCTTCAAAAATGTCGCGACGAACACCTGATTGGCCTGACTTGCGAAAAGGACTGGACCGTCTAAATCTTGCAATTTTTTCTATGTGAAGGGGTCTTTACCAGGCAATTACATCATACTTCGAACTCATGCAGTTCCACTTTCTTTGAAACAAAGTCAAACACTTGTGGATCGTGTTTTATCGCACACGAAACACGGCTGCTTGTGTTCATAACAATTGCATTCAAAACCATTTTATATTAAGACTTGACTTACCGACTGGTCCCGGTAAACTGGCTCCGATTAGCCCTACTCCTGCCACCAAAAAACACAAAATCCTCAGCAAAAATTTTACGTCCATTTAGCTGCACCTAAAATACAGTGGTGACAACGTTCAGTGATTCAAAGGCTTCATACAAAGCGATGAGTGTACCGACCCTCAAAAACTGCGCCAAGCCCGCGACAATTTTGCTGCAATTTACAACTTACACTGCAATTTTAGGCGAAACAGATGTTCGGTAGGCAATTGACGAAATGTTGAGGTACTTTGAAGATACAGCAAAATGTGCCTTGTATACTCTTTCGTATAGTGATTGTTGATGAGCGAGGCTTTCAAAATGTTTGGGTTATATAGACTGTTATGCAAATTAGCCACAGCTGCCATTTGAAATAATCCAGCTCAGTTCTTATCAAGGCTAAAATTCTTCCATTTACTGTATATTCGTCGAAATGCTCCCTATCGCCTATACTGGAGGAGGTATAGGTATATTCGTAAGATTGTCGGCAAGCACTACTATTTTTTATCTGTTTATATTGGTCTTGTTAATTCCCTACAAACATTGTGATTACGGGTTGACAAACCCTCGTGCATAAACCTTGCTATTGTCAGTATGTCATTGTAAAAAGCCAACTCTTTCAAGTCCGGTGGTAATGGGACTGCGAACTTCCTGCAAGTTTCTGATGTTACAGCATAGGAAATAAAAAGTTAGAATCCTTGGCCAATAATCAGGCAATAACTTTCCTTAAAAATAGCGGACCGTGCACGAGTAATTAGGGCGAAAGCTCATTTCATGCCGACGGTTCATTTTCTATGTCGGTTGTTTAAGTGCCAAAACAAGAGCTTATCAAATCTGAGGATTAAACAGTCAAAACGTTAAGTGGTCATGAATATTGTACAGTGAGGATATCAAATTTTTCACATTTACATTTTTTCATAGCTTTCGTAATTAGAAGTGGTTACAGGTTGAACACAATTTTTGCGGATAATTAATTAAATTAAAGCTTAACTGGGCGCTTTTCATGGCCGGCTATCCAGTAAGTATCTACCTAATATGAACGAGTTTTGTGATTGGCTTTTTGTGTCAATAATGAGCAGTGTTTATGATTCGTTCTTTTAGAAATCAATTTCTATAGTTCATTCTGTTTTATTGTTATCTTCATTCAACCAATATCAAAGCTTGTACATATATAGGTATATCCCGATCCCGGCTATCGGAAACATGCCTCGTCTAAACATTCAACGGACACAGACTTTGTTAAGGCCCATAGACACTGAGTCCCTAAATTATTTTTTGAACAGAACGTTACCAGGAGAAATCTGCTCACCCTCGACACGATAACTGTTGCACTGTTGTGACAAATCATCGACTCAATTTGAAAAATCGTGGTGTTTGATTCATCTGCACAGTTTTGAAGTCAACTAATGCACGTTAATTGGCACCAAGGATGAGCGTGTTAGACTGGCCGCTTTAAAAATATAGTTAATATCCATCCCTTAAAATAGTGCCGCCATGTGAACATGCATACCGCGTGTCAGCATGTATTCAAACCGTTGTGAAATTTCGGTGTTTTAGCAGTCACTTTGACTAAAGCCATGCATGCATGCTTGCATAATTCGAGCTTGCTGCTCAACCGAAACCAATTAAGAGGTCGCGGACATGCAAAGTAAGTCAAGTTTACGTCCCACACTTGCAGGTCCGACCATGCCGTTAAAATGCTTGCTAGATGCTACTGATCCATATTCGGGTATTCAAAATTGTAGTCCATTTCAGAGGCGTTATTTAAGGAAAACATTTAATTCTGAACCTCTCGGAAACCATTGACCTTCGTCTCTACAATTCTCTTATTTTGCATGCAGGCACGCCCGTGTAACTTTCAACATTTGCGAAAGAAATGCAACGCGAGATAAAATTTTTTCCAACTATTTTCGCTGCACGGCATCCGTATATAAAATGAAAATGCTCTTAGGCGTTTTCCCATTCATTCATTAGTCGTTCGCTGCAGAACAAAAACACTGGCTGGCTTCCGGCCTGTGCGCAATTCGTTATAGGATAAGTGAAATATACATCATATTGCTATTATAATAGTATAGATCGATTTTAATGAAACAATGGAATATGTCATCTAGTCTAATTGCACGTGTTCTATAGCTAAATACGTCCCCTAATCCTTAAACGGTTTTACGAAACGGAATTTCTTAATGTGCTACTTCGTAACACTTTTGCGTTCTTCTACTTCGCAACTGTTTGAGCAAAGTCTGCAAAGACAAGAGGCATGTCCACATCAATCAAGCCATGAATATCTTTTCGGACTTCAAAATATGCGTACTTCGGGACTCTAGCATCCGCTGGTAGATTCAAACCTTTCATAATGCCATCGACTGCAAAAAAACTGGTATCCACTTTGAAGTGAAGCCTCCCATTTTGGTAAGAGACGATCGTAACTCCGTCTTTGAAACTTGAAAATGGTGTAAGTGGATAAATTTTCCAGCCGCGTGGATATTGAAAGCCGGGCATGGGAAGCTCATCCAGTGCGACATACTTCAAGGAGTCCCTGAAGTCCTGAACAGACGATGATGGCAGGACCTTTTCACTAAAGGCGATACTGAAGTAGATTGGTCCGTCGTCGGTGAGTGAATGATGCACAAACATTCGGGATATATATGCGGTACGATATTCCTTTAGTCCACCAGAGTATTCAGACAAATCGTCGCTGATGTTTATTTTCAGTGTGTATTGGTTATCTCTTAAATATTTCACAACCTTTGACCTGGCAGTAGCAGAATCTAGCGAAATAGAAACATACATAAGCAAGGCTATGCGGTGTCTATATGAAAATCTGAGGACGCGATGTCAAGGACGCGATGTCTATATGAAAATCTGAGTTTTTCTTCAGTACTAGTGTAACGACTGAATTTTTGCTCCTTTTGAACAATGCTTATATACTAACTTACTGCTTTCAACTGAGAGACGAAATCATACATTAATGATGTTTTCAGGAGATTGGTATAATTGGCTTGAAATGCGCTGCATGCATGCATACGTGTTTCAAACTTTCCTATAGCATACATTCATGTTCCAACTACCATTCATATAATAATAAGTCGATCTATTTGTTATAGTTATCAAAAACAGTATCAGATATTATACAACAGGGACTTGACTTACCGACAATAGGGGCTGGAGGAGATTTGGTCTCAATCAATCCCATCTCTGCTATCAGAAAACACAAAACCAGCAAGAATTTGAAAGCCATTTAGCACACCTGAAATACAATTGTGACGAGGTTAAGTTGCAGACAACAAATCCAAATTACCGCTAAGTACGATGCTGAGATAATCGACATTTTAGGCGGCTGCATGCTTATAATATAACAGACGTATAGTGATAAAATGACAGCACGCAAATATGGCTTTATTTGTTGTGCAAAGTAAAGAATCTTTTAAGATCTTGATTCTTTTTTAAGAAGTCTTTGACTGTAGGTTTAATAGTAATAACGGTTTGGAAATTTGGCTTTTCACGTGAAATCATTTGAAAGTTATCTCACAATTTTGGTGACCTATAATATGATATAATTGCGCAGCTTCGACTGCATATATATAAATTAAAGTTTACCCCATCTCCGTTTGAACTCGAAATTTCAGCCTGTACTAAAAGGCTTAAAGGCTTCAAAATTCAATTATTAATTGACACTGAAGTCGTCGAATTAAAGACTCTTTAAAAGCAACTTACCTGTTAACAGTCGACTAACCAGAGATGTGAAATATAATAGTATACGTCTTCTCTATTCCACGGCACAAATGAACTTTTTTTACTTCTATATAGTTTGTACTGTTTTTGCAACCAAACACCCGTTCTATTTATATATGATCTGCTAATGCATTTTTTCGGTTGAACATCAAGTTACGCGCTGACGTTTGTAATCAAACCCGCACTAGTAAGCAGCAACGCCAACAAGTTTGAGACGTCAATTATTATGAGTGGTTTGCCATGTGTAAGGAAAGGTATAAGTGGTATAGTGCATAGTATGTTTGACAATTGTGCGTCCTCCAATACAACTGAAGCGGCACGACTGTGAGTCATCACCATTGTGTTTTGACACGGATTATAGGAGTAGAATTTAGAATGACGAATTTTCAGTCTTAACATGCGCTATCTTTTAACCGTTCATCCATTTTGTAAAAATGGCAGAAATTCATTCAGTTATATATATATTGCCTAGATCCCAGACCGGCTCTGTTAATAACAAGCGTTCTGTGTTATACCTATAGTTAAACATGCGGAACCGGTCAGGTTTAACGATTTACTCTTGAAATATTTCCGCTGTCTACACCTGCCGTTAATTGATGCATTCAATGACCGTTGTTTTAACGGTTCATCTTTGAAATCGCGCAACAGCCCTCCGAAGAGGTTATATAACACAGGGTAAGTAAGAAATACAGAGCTGGAACTAGTGCATGTACACACGTTTTTATACTGTTCATGCTGGGAAAGTACCTGAGATTGAAAGTATAAACAATTCTGCATGCTATATAACTGACGATATTGTAAAACTTCAATTATCGAAAATGTTTAAGTAGACGTTTACCAAAAAATCAAAGCCATTTTGAACATTTCAGACACTTGCCGTGCATGCATGCCGCATTTGGTGATTTTTCGCTCACGTGCACCAAAAAAAGCGGGTACAAAGAATTACCATAATGACGTCCAGCTCTGTATCTTTTCCTTATATACTCTTTGGTTTAGTTTAAGTGTCAACCCTAAAGGCATTTTACCGTTGTCAAATGCCTGATACGACATTTTTTGTCAAGATTATATCATTCTGTTCATCTGCATGTATTCGTAGCTGTTTCAGAGTATAATTCTTTATAATTATACCCTGAGTCGCCGGATGATTTGAATTTTTTTATGAAACAAAATTATTAAAAAGAAACCATGCAATGGAATCACTGCCGCCATCTAAAACACTTATGTCGTAATTATGTATTAATTTTAATTTAAAAATCCGTTGTAGAATGACAGTGTTCCACTCTTCAGCACGCGGCATTAATGAAGTGGGCCGGATTTGGACGAGCAGGTCAAGTGTCGGTGGTCGGTGCCCATCCCTTGAAAACAGTGACGCCACTAAAACTATCCGATATAGTAGTGTTCAATTTCAAAAAGTCAAAAACGGTTATATCAGTTAAAGCATCCGTAAATGCAACAGCCAGCATTAAAAGCTCGGCACCGTTAAAAGCCTAGTTTCCTCTGCGATTTCACAAAAGCGTAGGGGTTTTAATGTATGGAATCTTTCAATATGACGTATAAAAAGTGGTCCGCCATCTTGGGTGGCATGAGAGTGATTTTATCATTCAACCCACTGCTGCTTGTTATGAACTATAACCTAACATGCAATATAGATGATAAAATATAGATAAATTAAATACTCTGATATATCATAATACTATTGACCAAAATTTTACAACCTGAAAATAGCAACAATCACACATTCGCCGGATTGCCTCACTGAATTGGCTTGATCGGCCCTTCATAAATCTAGAACTTACGATCGAATACCGTCAGTGGAGAAGGTGTTCGTGGTCCGTATGTAATTGTAGTTACCAAATAGCCTCCGACTGGCACTATGAAGTATGATGCGTCAACTTTAGACACTGTTCCGGAATTGCTGGTCACTGTCATCGTCGTTAAAAAGCAATATTTGGTTGCAATGGCTTATTATCGTTTGACATAATAGATTATAAGAATATATTTGGATATCTAATTGAGAAAAATATTCACAATCTTTCACTAGTGTTATTTGAAGGGCCACCGGAGTAAGCCTGCATGATCGTGTGTTGGTTCGTCTATCCTTTCAGTCAATAATTTGGGCAAGAACGTGAGGAAACTGTTGGGTTTCATCTTTCTGATTTATGGTCGCTCATTTAAGTTTTCGTTCAATCGAAAAATCTCGATCTTCAGCTTCGTACACATTATACTTCAATTCGCACTGTCTTCAGAAGTAGGGAAAAGAGAAAACTGGGTACGAGGCTGCTTGATCAGGCTGCTTGATCACGTGACAAAAGGACACTTGATATCCACCATTTCAATGATACCCATACACATACCCATAATACCCATTGGTCTCGCGTACTTCGAAAAACCTCGGAATGAGGATGCACCGTAGTCTCACTTGGTTGATAATCACTGCTGATACTCGATAACAAAGCCTTCGAAGACAAAATGAAAGTCAATCTGTAAATCTATCGAAACGATTAGCATCATACAGCGAACCATCTGAAATCCACCACAAACCAAATAATTTGTATCACTGATATTGTCGTACCTTGGTATGTTAAAGAAATATCTTTAACCAAAATAACATTGTCATTGGTGTTCATTCAAGGTGGGTTGGATGTAAGCCTATGACACCTATCTGTGCAATTGGGCCGTTTACTATAAGAAAATTTGCAATGTATATTCGGTTTTGTTTTATGGCAGCAAGGGTTTGATAGCTGCAAAAGAAGCACATGATATTTGCTTTCTCGCTGCAATGAGCTGAATCGAAACGACTGAACCAGGAAGCAGACTTACCTAAATTGCTAACTGCAATCCATCAAGTTCGCCGATATTGTTTTACCATGATACACTGTTCGGTATCTTTCAATCCATCGCCTGCATATATTTAGTTTTTGTTTGATCTTTTTCGACTAAAGAAAGATTTCAAAAAATACCCAAATACCATACGATAGCTATGTCAACACAATAATCATGCGCTTGTCAGAGCGATTGCAGAATATAGAGCTACCGCAATTTTTAAGCGATACCTTTTAAATATCATGATGGATACGTGGATATACACAACGAAAGAGTTATTTCAAGATAATAAGGCAGGATAAATATATAACGTAATATTATTATTGTACGTGATAATAAACTAATATCACGAATCGCGGGTATAATTAAGTTTTAGCCTTTTATGTCTTAATGCAAATGAGTTCCGCAACAACTGAAGACTTTAATTCATTTGCATGAATCGAAACATGAACAATGAAACACAAAATGAATGGTTCGGTGCATGAAAAGAGCGACGTATGACAGACCTATACAGAGTGTCCCAAAAAAATGTCCCCTCTATTGAAATCAAGCCTTTGTTCGAATCTGATTGCCTTAATATTATGATAAACCCAATTGAAAGCAAGACGCTTTATTTGAATGCCTCAACCTAATAAATATGCTATTTACACACTACTGCGTTGATCATGCATTCAAATTCCAACAAAAGCTTCATTTCAATAGCGGGGACTTTTTTTTGGGACACCCTGTATAGGCCTTAGTGGCTACGAATTCGTTTTTTATTTGGAAGACAACGCATATGGGATAATAAGGCAGGTTAAACATAACTATAACATATGAAAAGTAATGTTATTGTAGGTATAAGTTGAATGGATACACGGATACGCGTGAATACATAGTCGTTTGTAAGTTTTGGAGAGGCATAGCCGGGCAATAAGGCGTGTAAATATGTCACAAGTTTGAGTGGGTAAGAGGATACCCGCGATCTTTATATATATTTATAATATTTTTTTTAAAGATTTTGTAACACCTTTTGATTTTCCGCGAGTGTTACCGTGGATCTTGGCCGGCCAAGGCACGTTCCATTGCGTGCTGGAAACATAAACTGAGGCTGCATTCATTTTGGGTAGCAAGTCTACTTTTTTAGATTTGGGGGGTTTGTTACTCCATCGTAAATGCCGTCGTTTATGTTACTGGTGAAGGCATCCCGTTGACCCGTTGCGTCTCAAGCCTCGTCAAGATACTCGGTTGTTAGATATTGGAGCGATTGTTTATCTTTTGTATGAATAATAATAAACGTACTAACGTATGAGCATTATTCAAATACGACAATAAACATGCATTGATGGCGCACATGCGCGCAAGGAATTTATACCGTTAATACTGTTTGTTTTTTCATTTTACCTCACGAGAGTCGAGACTAAACATGCATTATATAGTAATAATAGGAACAGGCGCTCCAGTCTTCTATAATCGGCACTTTTTATTACGTACAAATGCTGGTTGTTTTATGTACTATTATAATTTGTTTCATTATAGTCTTTTTAGATAATATCTATAATCTTTTTTCTTTCTTTCGTAAACCACATCCGAGTTTGAGTGTGCATCGACTGGTTGGCTTGCGATTTAGATTTCGGTTTTATTGAATTTCCAGTTCGCTGTGTAGTGCGTCATTTGTATTTTGCCGCTTTTTAAAGACTTTTAAACCATATGTAAGCAGTGCCATATTTTTTTGTTTTGCAGACTTTCTATCTGGCAAAGACGGCAAGACCTCATGAGACTTTTACATCCACGAACATTCAAATGGTCGAGCAGGTGTGTTTTATTATATATTGAACAAAAGGTTTAATTGGCTTTCATTACGGTACAATTGCTAATGTTAACAGTATTTTTTGCCGTTATGGAATTTGATTTGATCAATTTTTAAGATCAATTAAGATGGCTCGCTCCCTCAATTTAACAGTTTCTGTCTTTCTGTGATAGACAAAATTCGATGCTTTGATGCAATTTACGGAGTTTCATTTGGAAATTATAATTTTAGTTTTTATTACTGTACTAAATATTAATCAGCACGTAAAAACCCCATCAACCCATGCGCAGCAAGATGCATATGGCAGGACTAATCTTAGTCAAAGTATATATTTTGTTGCAGCCGGTAAAACCAAAATCATACAGTGCTATAAATGGCCTCTGCAGATCTTCAAATTTTACAAGAAAAGGCAAATTTTACAAGGCTTAGTCGGCTTCTGGTCGACAAAGGAACCGAAGCGTTGC